TTCCAGGCGGAAATTCACGCCATCGAGAATTGTATCCAGTTTAACATCGAAAGAAACTATCATAGATTATCATCATGTCCAATAGTCAAGCAGCCATCAAAGCGCTGAGCTCTTACGTAATCAGCTCAAAAATGGTCTGGAGATGCCTAGAACAATTGAATGAGCTAGGCGAGAAAAATAGAGTTACTCTCACTTGGGTCGCGGGACATAACGGGGTACAGAGTAACGAGATTGCGGATAGTTTTGCAAGGAAAGGGGCTTAAACAGCCTTTGTAGGACCTGAGCCGTTCTGCGGTATCAGCAGTAACTTAATATTAGGAGAGATTAAAAAAGAATTGGGCAGTAGAAGAACCGATAATTGGAACAATCTATTGGTGCTGAGACAGGCCAAGATACTTCTGGGTGAATATAACCAGAAAAGATCGGAAGCCTGCATCTGCCTGAACAAGAACAGGCTACGTATTATAACAGGGATCCTTACCGGGCATTTCCGACTAAAAGGACACCTAAGTAAACTGAGAATAGTAGAGGATAGTGAGTGCAGATTCTGTGAGGAGGAGGACGAAACCTCCATTCACATCCTAACTGAATGTGTAGCACTCCAGAATCTAAGGGCACTATATCTAGGAGGATATCAAATATAAGAGGGAGATTTACCTAACTTGGAGCCACTTCAAATCCTACACTTTCTTGAGAAAATAGGATTGGAAGGGTCGTTATAGGCATTGAGACATTTCCTTAGTGCATTGGCGACAGAAGGGGGCACAATAGATCTTTTAGATCGCAGTGTATTAACTCCCCCATTCTCAACATAACATAACATACTGATACTGATACGGCACTGATACGACACTGATGTGTGTAAATAGACCTTAACTCTTTCCTATGTCCACATAATAAAAATTATTCTAGTAGGCTTCTGATATCATTTAAACACAGCAATATCAAGTAGCTGGAGGTAGTGAGTAATATGCCTAGGTAGTTGTAATATTATGATAACGCCAATATTACGAACCATCTCTATCGCAGTGAGGTTCTTCAAGTGTGTCGCTTTGTTGTATGGCAGTCCAAAATAAGTAAAACCTTTTCTTTTCCAAATTTGGCTGTATTGTGAAGTGCTCTAACCATTTAATAAACAAGTCTGAGTTTATGTAACTGGTGTCGGTTATATCTACCTATATCCTTGTTCTTTAAAAATTTTTCGTTGGTGCTACATAGTGACTTGCTGTGTTGTAATCATAGTTATAAATGTTGAATATTTTTGTAGTTTATATCGTCTATTTTTCCCCAATAAGTTAAAGAAACCAAAAACATTTTCTCTGTAGAATCCTTTGCACCACGTTACTTATTTCCAATAATTTTTTGTTTGTTCTTTGTGAAAGGAATGTTGATATAATATGGTCCCTAAATTGTACTGGACAATATAAACGATCAGTGTTTTCACTATTTTTTATTGTAATTAAACAAAGGTTTAGGTTTTAGATTAAATTTAGACTATTGTTATTTAAGTTTCACACCCTTCGCACCCCCGTGCTGTTAATTGAATAAAAACATTATAAACAAATATTTGCAAATCAAAATTAACCAGCTATAATCCAAATAAATTGAAACCACATGCGGCTTCCTGAACCACCCTTTGAAGGTCCTACTACTTTCCCATTCCCAATTCACTCTCATTCATCGTTATTTATTCCGTCGATAGTGAAACGTTAGTCGGCTAAGTTCCATGGTAACAAGACCCACGGTTGAACCTCCCACTAGTCACACATCCACGACGTGACCAGAGAGGTAACTGCTCAATTGATGTGAGTATGTGAATGCACACTAATCTCGCAGCTAGCCTCTCCAGCAAATTTATATTATACGATAAAAATGGACTACTTTGCATGCAGTTTAATAATATCAAATGGCTAAAACTTTAAATCTCGTGTAATTTTCTTAATGCAAAATGAAAAACCAAAAACTAAGGGCGTACACTTGGACATTTAACCATCAATCTTGCTTATACTGTTAAATGTATCATTCACTATGGTGCTAAGGGTCCATGACCTATTAAAGCAAGAAAGGGTACAATTTATAAACCTTCTATCTATTTGATCTTATCGTCTCGAAAATCATTATTCCTTGAGTAAAACAACTTAAAATGACATTGAACGATATAAAAAAAACGTAAAAATGCATCATTTTTTTTATTAGATTAGATAGTGGTGAATTAATAAAGATAACAGAATTTAAGCATTAAAATATTGTAATAAGATACAAAAACACTATTTACCACTTAATGAAGGTGAAGGAGAGTCTGCAAGAATAACAGATCAATAGTAAAAATAAACTATAGCTTTAATAAGTATAAAGCATTAGTAATAAGTAATAAATATAAAAATAGGGCTTACTAGAAATATTAATTGGTCGTTGACATGTATCTGACGATGATAAAGTTAATATCGAAACGCATACAAATATAGTATGTTTTTTGCCCACCACGAATCATAAGAAGGTGGGAATTTCATCAGCAACGGAATCAACTCTTACTTAAGTTTTTACTTCTAAACGAACGCTGGCCCCCAGCATAAATCGCTCGACGTAAATGTTCAATATGGATGAGCTGTATTTATCAACAAAACTTATAATCAGTTGATTTAATTGGTCGGTTCTTTTAAAGTGTACTAATATATCGAAACATTAAGTTACCTATTTGAATATATAAAACTAAGTGTTGTTTTTAATTGTATCACTTGCGGTTTTGCAATCTTAAGGACAACATGTTATACGGTTTTTTGAGTTTGGCTGTCGTCCTTCTTGCTACTGTGGGGTAAGTGAGATTTTCGTTAAATATAACAATTAATAAAATGATGGGTAAGAGAGTGGTTACCATCAAAATAAAAGATTCGTTATTACAGATTTATTTTACACTGATGATTTTTTTATTATTTCTTATTAATAACCGTTTTTTACTGTTCCAACTAAATGTAATCATTTTATATTGGAATTTTAAACGTATGTGCACTTTACCACTCTTTTCCCTTTTAAATCAAATATGATTTATGAAGTTTTACATTTTTCCGTCAATTTTTTTTCGCATTATTTCAATTTTCACATTTATTTTTTAAAACATTTTTATCCCTAAAAAGGAATTATAGACTCTAAGTCAAGTTTCATAGCCTTTCTCTAGAAAACAAATACTAGTGATAGGTATCTTGCAGTTAGAACTATTTTTAACCGACTTCAAAAAAGGAGGACGTTCTCAATTCGTCGCAATATTTTTTTTATGTATGTTCAGCGATAATTCTTCAACACGGTGTCCGATTTCAATGATTCTTTTTTTGTTAGAAAAGGGGGACTTCAGGGGTGGTCCCATATAAATGTGGTCAAAATCTAATAATTAGGTCCATGAGAAAATCCTCAAACTCTTCATTTTTTATGTATGTTTAGCGATAATGCTTTACCACCTTTTCCGATTTATATGATTCTTATTTTGTTAGTAAGGGGGTACCTCAGGGGTGGTCCTATATAAATTTGGTTAAGATGTGGTGATGACATCTGCACGTTTTTGAAGTCGGTTTTTTTTTAATTTTTAATTTCTAATACTTGTCGAAATTATGTTTTCTGATTTATTACATATAACATGTAAAAAATTAAATTAAGAATACCAACATAATTGCAAAACTATCGAGTCAATTCTGTGTACATTTACACAATACATATCTAGTTTTTTGGATTGTAGAAATTAGGTTAATGTCATATACACAGATTAAATTGTTTGATAAGGGGTCTGATAAACAAAAATTACTTCTGAAAATTAAATAATTTTGTGTTTTAAAGAGTATTGGGTCTATTCTGTAACAATTCCTTTATATTTTATGACATAATTGAAGAAATTTTGATTGAAGAGTTACTGGAAAATGAAGAAAGATATAATAAAGTACAAAACATTTATAATGTAGGTACAACTATTACATTTTAATAATTTGAAACCGAATTTCGATTACATCAAAGATCAGTTAGGGACTTGAATAATCTATTTCAGTTAGCAAATGTAGATTTTAAAAATATTTTTCGATTTTAACGATGTAGCCAGAACTATAGTTAATATTATAGAGCCAATTTCGTTGTATCTATTGGGTTTATTTTCCCACCGGGAAATTTCGCTGTTTATCAACTCTTTTTGGTTATTAGTAGTTCTTGGTGCGCAAGATATTTTTTATTTTAAATGTATATGTATGTTTTGGTTTTAAATTAAAAATTAAGGGTTTGTACAGTTATGTTTTCAAATTTATTTTTCTAATCCTTCAACATTAGTTCAAATGAATCTTAAATGCGATGTTGTCAAGTGTTCTCCTGTCATTTTTGAAGGAATCTGTTAAAATAAATAATTTTTAACAGGCCTCTAAAATTTGTGTATATAGAACACCATTTTTGGTTAAAAAAAAATAACGGGCCGCTAAAAGTAAAATTTTTAAAGGCCTCTAATTTTTAGCGGATGTGTTACAGAATAGACCCCTATCCATGAGCGTCGTTTGGGGGGGGGCAGTTGCCCCCCCCCTGGCTTTTACGACTTAATCAACAACGCGTAAGATATGCATTACGAACAACAATCTCATACAAATAATATTCAGGCTAATATATTTGAAGAATATTATAGGTTGAATATATTTATTGCATATGTGGGTTCCGCTTTTCCGAAGACCTTGTTAGTTTTTCCTTAAGCCTGTTACATTCCAAAAACATAAAAAATACTTTTTTCACTACCGATAAGAAAATGAAAGTGGTGGAAAAATTTGGAATCGATAATTTTGAAGCTGAATACCAAACTGGAATACGAAAGTGCTTTCTGCACACAATGAGCTCTCCATTAATGATATAGTGCCCAAATATTGTGAATTTGATCCAGACATACAAAGAGGTTTAAAAAATATTTATGGGTCTTCCACCAACGAAAGAACGTTTGAAACACTAAGGCATGTTAAAACATGGCTGCAGCCTATTCGATCAGTGTGAAGTCATGATAGGGGAAGCAAAAGCGATACTAGCGCAAGCTGCGGATAATTCGAGTATTTTAGGGCGATATTTTGTAATTTTGGCGTATCAAATACACGTATACATTTTACCTTTTACTAAAAAAAATAGGTAAAAACAATAAAATGAGCAACCGGAGTTGCTATGTTACAAATTATACTAGCAAAAAGACTGTAAATTATATGAATGTTCAGTAGCAAAATCGAAATTAAATAAAATAAATAAATGGACAGCTGTATAATAAGAACAAAAAAATCTTTATTTTTGTAATAATTAAGCAATAAATTATTTTTTTATGATATTCTTTAACATCCCTTAAATCTTAAATGTTTAGCAAATGATTAGATTTCTGCCTTTAATTATTGTATATGGTTGACATGCAATCTTGTGACTTATTGATAGGAAACCGGTTTTATTCATTAATTTCTATGGGTTCTTTCGAACTAAAAATGAAGAAAATATAAATTACAATCGCAAATATACCAATTATTTTTGTTATTAAGTTTTAAATTTATGTTATTATATAATGGTAATATTTTTATTTTGACATAATTTAATCTATTCTTCAATGACAACTTATTAGGCTTAGGCAAGATCTCATAAATTTTCTCGTAAGTACCTACCTATGTTTTATTATTGATTTTTATTGACTTTTTTTAGCTGAAGTAATAAAAATATATAATAATAATTTGTTCACTTGTTTTAAAATTAAAATTAACATATATATTTCTTAATTACGAACCCTATTAAAAATTGTATTGTCAGTATACGCAAATATCGTCCGTTAGTTCATAAAATAGTTGGCATTGCTGTCACACACGGAGTGAATAATGAATGAAAATAGGCTGACTGAAAAATAAATTATGTTTTCGTTATCGATATTTTTAGTAGAGAAAAAAGAAATTTGAAATTTGCATTTTCCTAGTGTTTTTCTGTGTTCATTGACATATTTGAGTTAGTTTTTTTATGTTTTTGTTTTTTATAAATTTTTATTTTTTATATTATTATGTTCATATTTTTCTTTTATATCACACCTGTTTGTTTTTTAAAAATATGCTTTAAGTTTCTTGTTTTTTTTTTTAATTTTAGTTTTTGTCTTTTTTTTTGGTTATTTTATTTATTAGAGACTTGTTATGACAACTTAAGCATCAGTTCTGTCAAATGGGTCAGTGACATTGTTAGAGTTACTACTAAAGTTCCACTCCCCTTATCTTCTCTATTCAGTGAGATATCTGAATAATTTTGTTCTGTTTGACAGACTGGAACAAACACTGTCTTAGGATTCAATTATTCTGTGACGTCCTGGCTTACTTCCGATTTTTCCGGAAATAAAGAAAATCGATTTTTTTTTATTGTTAAATGGAAACCCTCTTTTATTGTAAATTTAAACATTTTTGTATAATAATCGTGTATTGAAAATTTTCTGTCAGCTGTCAAAATGGCCACCATATTGGATAATATTTTTTCTAAACATGTCACTATTAATTCGTTTATGAAAAAAAATATAGGAATGTACGATCTTTATAAAATCTTTGTAAGCTTCAAAATTCCCATTGAGACCCATTTACCGTATACCAGTATACCGTTTAATAATTTCATCCGCTTTTATCTTAGTTGTTAATTGAGATATTGGAATGAAAACTTTTTTGTTTAAAAGCTTGGAACAAATACTATCATATACTGGATTCAATTGGTGTGTGACATCATGGCTGAATTCTGGTTTTTCGGAAATAACAGAAATTCTCAATTTATTTTTAAATAGAAACCCCCTTTTTTATTGAAAATTTGAATTTCGGGAACATTTATGAAAAAGAATAATGTGTCAAAATGACCATCATATTGGAAAATATTTTTTTTAATATGTTACAGAAAATTTTCAATAAACGCCCCAAAAATGTCCCAGAAATTCAAATTTTCAATAGAAAAGGGTTTTCATTTAAAAATAAAAAATAAATTGCGATTTTCTGTTATTTCTGGAAAAGCTGTAAATAAGCCATGAAGTCACAGAAAAATTAAATCCATCATAAGAAAATTCTCTTTTATTTTTCATTTCCTTTGTTTTCCAACAAATAAACATTCTAAATTTTTTTCAAAATTTTGTCCCCCCCTATAGAATTGTGTAACGACGCCCATGCCCCTATCACTCTTAAAGTATTTTTTCTACACCCGTATTATAATAATGCACTTATATGCCCATAATCCGTTTCATAATGATACCCATTATGATACAGATTTTTCATTATGATACAGATTTTTAATCAATAGAAACCTACAATTTTTCAATCAAGCATGATGTTTGACGTTTGTCCTAAATTCCTAAGTAATTGTTTTAGTTGTCAAAACGTATTAAATTTTCGTAGATAGCTAAACTTCGATAATTATAATATTAAAATGTCTGATATCAGCGATATAGAAGACTCCTCCACACATATCGGAGAAAGGAGAAAATGCAGTACAAAATATTTTGCCCCAAAAATCTGTGGTAATACCAATACCCAAGGTAATACCATTAATTACAATTTTGTAGAATTTTTTATAGAAATACGAGTAATTACTGTTATTGTGTTCAATGCCAATATAAATAGAATATTTATAGGTCTTGATTATTTATCGGGTGTAGAAAAAATAGCGTATGCAACTCTCATGTAATGGTTATTACATGATCGTTGCATAATATACTATTTTAACGGTGCGACAATAATTTATAAGTATTTTGAATACGATGGTGTCAAATTATTTAATTTCTTGTCAGCGTAAGGGATTCTTCAGGGTTCTAATTTGGACCAAGTATTATTA